CGTTTTCTTAATTCAAAATCATGATAATTTGTTGTTGTTACATTATTTAAACTAGTCGATGAACTCGTATGATGTGTTTGATATGATAAATGATCATCACCATCAAATGATCGATTATTTGTAAATATATTATGAGCTGATTTTAAATGCTTCATTTTTATTGAGTAAGGATATTCATGACCTAAGAAGAAAAAAAAAATGAAGATTTATTTTTGAACGTAGATGATGAGAGTTCATTCTGTCTTCTTTTGTTGAAAAATGATCAATTCTTTTATATTTGAACCAATACTCTTCTCTCTTTTTTTTTATCAAGAAAAAAGTTTAAACATATGATAGTATGTTACTATTTGTTTTTCATGGTCTAATGAGACGGATCAAACTCATAGTGACATTGATTTTTGCGTATGTGTGTGATTAACATATTCATGTAATCATCATCATCATCATCATTGATACATTTTTTTTTGTTACTAATTCTATAGGAAATGTCAAATGTAGGTGTTCTCGTCTTTTTCTTTAGGTTAATATCTATTGAAGGACAATCTCTTATTTAAATAACGAATAAAACGTTTTTCGTTTTTTTTTTTTTTTTTATCTCGTTTTCTTCCTTTTTGTTTTACCTTCTTTACGACGATTACCATTATATAAATTATCAAGACTTTTCGAACGTATTGTACCCGTACGAAATAGAGAAAAAAATGTTAAATGATATCGATCAAATTTACGTGAACGTTCATTGATCATGATTATGTTTTTAAGAATAATAATAAGTAACGTTATACTAATGGTGATTTACACACACGAATGAATTGAAGACTCCTGGTTACGTATAAATCTTAAGTACTCTTGTAATTCGACAAGAGAAAAAAAATAGTAAAGGAAGAAGAAAAAAAAACGAAAATGCGACAAGCGAGAACTTATACACGAATACACCTATAAAATGAAATTTCTCATTTTACTGTCGTCTTTTTTTCTTTTTTTACATAAACTAACCAATTAATGGTATATTTGTTATTTGAGTAGATTGTGAGAAAGAATTTGGATTTGTATGAACGATTGGATTAGATTGATTATTTGTTACGAATAGAACATAACTATCCACTAATGGATCCTTTATAAAAACGAAAAAAAGAAAATAATAACAAGTAAAATAATACATTAACATACTCGAAGATGAAATGCTTCAATACATTTTTTTATAAGATCTTGAACTGTTTCCTGTGGTCGAATACCAATAACTTTACGCTAAAATGAAAATATGGAATTTAAACTTTCCACCTCCATTTTTCTTTTTTTGTCGATAACTTACAATAAGAAATGATGCTGTATTATTATTATTATTATTATTATGATCTGATTCATAGTTTTGATCGATTACAATTCGAACATGTTCGATATTCGAATGATTTGATTGCCACCAAGTTTGAAGTGTTCTAAAAACAAATTTTAAAAGTCTAACATTGAAATCTAGAAATAATTTCATCTGAAATCAATGTATGAGTTGTGCGCTTAGATGTTTGCTTCTTCGAAAGAAAAAAAATTGGTGATTCTCTTTTTTTTTTGATAGTTAAAAAAACATATTCTATATGATTAAGAAATATTTTTCTTAGACATTAGCATTATTCATTTAAATTCAAAAAAATATTGACATTGTATTTAAATATCATACAATAAAAAACAAAAAATGTGTTATATGACACAATATGTATCCTTTCTACAATAAATAAATCATTATTTTTGACTATCGAATAACCCTAATAATAAAGATCGAAACAATGTTAACGATAAATCATAAGATATGAAGTTTTGATTATTTCAGGAATAAAATTTAGCAGTTGTTAAAAACAATATTTATTATTGTACTTTACATTTAAAAAAAAACGAGATCTTTTTAGGTCAAGATAACTTACGATTCAATACGTTGTTTCCAAATTTCTCGAATAGATTTTGTATCAAATTCTATAATAAAATTTTCTGCTAATGGCCAACCAATAATTAATGATCGATAAGGATCATAATAATTTAATGATGTTATTTCTGATGCTATATTATCATTAAAATTTTTATATAACCATATACAATTTAAATCAATACGATGTTTTATTTTAAATAATCCTTGTCGTTGATTATATTTACCAATAATTAATTCATTTTTATTTGTTATTATAAATAAACGTCGACATGTTGTATAATCACGAAATAAAGTAACATTTGTCCATAAATCATAAGAATCAAATATACCAACAGATATTAAACAACGATATATATTATTATCTTGTATTGTATCATCTATACTTGAACGTTTATTACCTAGAAAATAACGACTAATTGAACGAGATTTTCTTGATGATGGTTGAGAAACAACGACTTTTTTTAATATATCATCTGTTTGATTGTTCATCGCCAATAAAACAAATAATTAATTAATAAATAAATCAAAGATGCAAACATCTGAAGAAATAAAACAAAAAAAAATTCATATTGAGAAAACATTTAATTAATTAAACAGAGAATGTAAACGACTCATAGCGCAGTCTTAATTGTGACCATTGTCTCATCATATTAACCAACCATTAAAGATACCACTAGGGGTCTCACATTTACCCTTGTTTTTTTTCATTTCTTCCTATATCGATATCAATCAATGATGAATTTTATAACTCAAACGAATACGATAGATGTCGATTTTTTTTTTTGTATTGAAATATATATATATATATATATATAATTCATATTTTAAATGAGAATAGTCATTATATCATATAACAACAAAGAAAATTGATAATTTTTGTTAAATATTAACGAAAAAATTATTCATGTTGGATTATTTAAGAAGATACAACAATTGTTGTATCCAGATTTCTCCTTTTTCGATTGCTGAAAACTGTAGATCACTAACTATTGAGGTTACACGAACGCGAACACTAGTCATATCTTACAACTCACCTTTACAGGTGTTTATCAGATGCTCTGCTAAAAATAGATCTATCATCATAGTAGTTGAAGAAACTAAAGTCCTTCAATTGATTAATCACTTTTGAGTCGAAATTATGTATATTTTGTAGATCCTAATACCCTATGAAATTCTTGTAAAAAGCGAATAGTTTATTGTGAAAATTTATTGTTATCATAACTATCAATGATCAAATGTTTGCGAATCGTATTTTTGATGAATAATTAACCGCAAAAAAAAACATAATGTTCTCAGAAGATCTTCATATCTGTAGAACTCATTGCGTTGATCATTTTGACTGTTAAAATTCAGCATCATCGCAGCTATAAGCTAGAGATCTAAACTCTTTTTCACGATATTCATATTTTATTAGAATCTACATGATGAATATAGTCTCTTGAATCTATATTAAAAAGACTTTAATTAGTCAACTGACTAAGTACATTGAACTGTTCAATAGTCAATGATCTACAAAAATTCCTAGCATACGTATGTAAACATTTTTTTCGATTTCAACCTTGACAAAAAAAAACCGAATCTACATGTTTGTTATTCAACTGTTATCATCTTTCTTAAATTCAGACTATTACTAAACTATCTTACTTTTTCTTTTTTTTAAATGAACTACAGAACAATTTTTTTCTTGTATAATTTCTAACTAAGAAACAAAAAAAAAGAATACTTGTATAAATGTAACCGCATTGTTTTATTTCTAATGTAAAAGAAATATGTCAAGAATTTTATAGATCTAATTCATTACAAGTAAAAAAAAGAAAAAATCGATTATTACTACCTTGACAAATGATTGTTTTTGTTACCTATGGATCCATTAACAAAAAAAATCATACTCAAGAATTGTTGTTTTTATTTGATCTTTTCTTCTTCACACTTACTACTAACTGATGTGGATTGATTTTATTCTTCTAAAAAAAAAAATATATGTGTGAAAAACAAAAATTTTCTTGTCACATACAATTAAAATCAAATGAATAAAAAAAAAAACAATAGTCTAAATACTCTAATGGAGTGTCTTTCTCTATCGTGCGCTTCTTTTTTTTCTTCTCTCTCTCCTAACATACTAAATGACAATAAAGACGTCGACAACGATGAGTTGGTGGAGATTGAGAAGAAGGTAAATAAGAGCGAGGACAAAGAGATTTGTTATTCTTTATACACGATACACTCTTATGAGCAGAAATGTGAAACGAAAGTCAGTGTCGATTATGTCAACATTTATTTGAATGAAAAGAAAAAAGAAAAAGAAAAGTTGTATGTAATGGCAGAGAACAGTGCATTGTTAAGTATTAAACAAAATTGATCGATGATCCAGTATGTATGTGTGTACATGTTAAACAACCTGAGGCCAATCTCTTTGATGTTTATTTTATTTTTCACTTTTCTATGACCTCAATATTCAGCTGATGAATTTAGAAAAAAAAAAAAAAAAAAAGAAGAGACAATCAAAAAACGAATATGTCTATCAATCGTTCGAGCATAGTTAATGGTTAGATTGCATGAGTATGTACAATTAATTGTATATAGAAAAATTTTATTTGATGATGATATTCTATAAAAATTGATGTTATTTTGTCGTTCGATAATGATATATAATTGATAGATGTTGTTAAGCAATTATAAATGCAATTAAAATATTCTTTGAAGTAGTATGCATTTAAAGTGTTTGAATGAAGGTAAAAAGACTTGTAAATGCTTTTTTAATTAGATTTGTTAGTAGTCGTTTTATCAGTTTCAAGAAAGTAGAACTTGATTCAGTCTTAGACTGGTATTTTTTGTTTATCATGATTAATGATAAGAAAGATTATTTCGAAAATTTTCCAATTTCAGCATTTTTTATTATTTTCTAATCTTGTTGAAATTTTTCATATTTTATCTCGAATTCCTTGGACAAAGATTGAAACTGACAATAGATATTATCCCAAGTAAATAAATAATAAAAAAAAAGTAAAGAAAATGTGATAACAGACTGATGGCCAACTTATTATCTTTCATTGTAACAAATAAAAAAAAGAAACTTCTTTGTATCTTTATGTTTCGTTTTGTATTTACTTATTATATCTTATTGTTAACATTAATAGCCATTATTTTTTGTGATGAACCATGTCCAACACTTGATGATTTCCTAATTCGTTCACCTTATCTTGCACAGTTTAATGCTCATCTATATGAAGGTATTTGGTATGAATTAGCTTTTTATGATTATACACAATTTTCTAAAGCCTGCGGATGTACTCATTTAAATTGGACACTCATGACAACAAATACAAGTATCTATTCAGATGATTTCATAACTATTTGTCCATATGAACCTATTTGGCTTCGAAAAAATTATACAGTACATATGAATGGAACTGCTAATAATAAACAATATCCTTTTTTTATACCTGAAACAGGTTTTCATATGCAATTTAATAATACTGTAGGTAGGAAATTTATTTCATAAATAAGAATATGTTTTATTTGATGATTTTTTTATTTTTCGAAAGTTTACTATAGAAAAAATGAACTTAATAATGATTCATATGATCGAGCTATTCAATATCAATGTAAAGTTAATCAATTAGGTAAAAGAATATTTACAGGTATTAATTTTCTTTCGCGAACTTACTTTAATTCTGATATTGAACGTAAACAAGTCATTAATGAAATGATTATTGCAGCTATAAATGCTGGTGTTGAACAGAAATATTTGCAAGAATTAAAAATTGTTCAATGGAAAAATTGTTAAAAATAATGATTAGTTTTAATGAACATAAAATCTATTTTAAATATTTAATTATTTGTCGTACTTGCTTCATTTTTAACATATATTGTCAAAATAGAGATGAATGCTATTGACGTGTTGCTCATGATTATATTGCTGCTTTTTCGTTTTAATAAAACTATCCAACAATAATTTTTGTCAATCATTCACAGTAAACAAAAAAAAGTAAGCCATGAAAATATTCGGCGTCAATCATTCAAAGGCATACAACATGAATCATTAATATAGGCAGTTTTTTTTTCTATAGATTATACTAATGCAATGCGCAATGAGGACCATACAGTGAGCAAACAAAAACATAATCACCGATCGTACGATGTTGTAAGATTAACTAATCGATAAAGCCTTATATTCAGATTATTTTTTTTAATCATATACCTTGAACACTAAATCGAATCATACGTATTTACTGATTATTCGGTCTGTCCAGCTAAAAGATTGAAGTTATTTTATTCGAAATTCTTTTATAAGTTTTCATATATTCTACATCGATAGATGTCATTGATTGTGAATAATGTTGAAAATAAATACTAATTCCCCCTCCCCCCCCCCCTCCAAGCCGCAATAACCCTGTCGAATCTGACAGTAGGAACTTGTCGAATTCAATGAAATCTAATGGTATTAAAGTATACAGTTTTGTGGATCACTGATTTTGTGTATTAAGGATCGTGAATAAATTCTGATCTCAGATTTAGAATCGTCATCGTCAACACTCTCTTCTTACTTACTCTTATCACTACTCCAATACACTTGAGCCGAAAATTAAGTAAATAGAAGTGAACGAAAGACGTATATAGCAACTGCATACGTTTTAACATTGTACGGTTTTGTTATCGTGAGTGAAGGCTTGCACCAATGTCAAACTTTTAAGTAAAAATGCTAATACAATGCGTACCCTTTTTATGGTATTTTGAAGAAAAAAACATTTTTGTCGAAATAGCTACTTCAATCAAAACACTCGAAAAAAAAGCCAATATGGTGGGACATATAACATAGCTTATAGTAAAACAATTTTGGCGTTACTTGAATAGCCTATCATTTACGTTAAGAAGGATTAAATACTGTGAGCACTAAAAGTAAAGCTTGCATCTATCTTTGTAAAGGTTTGAATTCTGTTGTATACGAATGAATAAAAGATATCTCTCCTGCCAGAATCTAAAGCATGTCGCTTCGAGTACGGAGTCGCATACCAAAAACTAAGGTCGGTGCAGATGCATTTCGTTTCCACTCATCCTTTATTTAAATGAAATGTATAGAGAACTGATCTACACTCGTTTCAGAAAGCGGTGTCGGTGTAAATTTGGATGTAGCTTAAGAGAATATCCGCAAGCACACCCACACTCAACTCCATCATTTTTCAGCAAGATAGAACGCCAGCTGACTACTAGATATCAGTTCGTGTCTGGCTGAACGAAATCTACGATGATAGGTGGATCGCAAGAAGTAGCCCAAAATCATGGACCCGTCAATCACTAACTTTGACATCATTGGACTTCTATCTTTGGAGCCATCTCAAATCAAATGTTTGCAAAATAACCGTAAAACATCTAAGTAATTTAAAGACTCGGATAACGAAAGAAATCGCTATAATAAAAAGAAATATTGCATAATGTTTTTTTCAAATTGTAAAATGTCTAACTTTTGTATTGAAGTCACAGGTAATACTTTTGAATAGTATTTGTGAACTTTGTCTTTATGAAAAAAAAACTTACTGGTCTTCTCTTTCAAATAAGGAAAAATTATTAGATTAAGCTTGATTAATAATGGAGTTATACGCAATTCTTAAGTGATAGTGACTTTTGAGACACCCTGTATATCCACAACTTCTTATATAGTCGATTGTTCGATTGACCGCTGTATACCAGTCGACGCAGAGAAAAGTCTCTACAAAACTCAATATTTGACTTTTCTCCTTAAGGAAGTCATCCTCATCCGACAGAGTTCTTCATTAATTTTTCTCTATGTATAGATGGTTTCGCTCCGAACCTCATCAAGTGCTTTCTGATTGGCTGAATAGATAGAGAAGCAAACCTTTTTGTATGTATATCCTTTCTTTCTGAAAAGGAAAAAATACGGTCACGTCCTCTTCCATCTGTCTAAAGTTCTTTTTATTTATTTTATCTTCATTAAGTATCCATAAAATTTTTTTTATATATTGAACCAATCATTGTTAAAAATTGCATTAGCATCAGCTTCAATTAAATCAATTTGACGTGGCCAAGCAAATTGTAGTTTTTTGTGCACATTATTAGATAAAATCGGCCTTATTAAACGCAACTGTTGATTGTCAACCGCTCGCGGATTAAATAAACGCATCCAATTCCTATTGCGAAACCTGTTCGTTGTGTTAAATTCTTCGTATGCAAAATTAAGATCGTAATGTTCATTTTTACGTCGACATAAACATCTTCTGTAACAGACTTCGATTTCTTGGTCGTTTATACAGGGTGGTCCACAAATAACATTGCGATAAAAGATTGAGATATCTCCGCTTGGGTACAATCAAATTGCCTGATTTTTTGGTTAGGAGTAGAACTTTATTCAAAATTTTTTTTTTCATACGGATAATGTAAGCAAATACTTCCATTAAGTGTTATTACTGACTTCACTAAAAAAATCTTGACCATTGCCAAATGCGCAAATATATGTGGAACGTTCCATATATAATTTTCAGTTGTCACCTTAGACAATTACAAGAAGAAAGCAAAATGCACTTAATGAATGCTATAACATTGATGAAAATATAGCAAATTTTCAGTACCAGTTAGATTGAAAGCCAACGGTTACAATATCTCGGATTTTCAAGTATGGAATGCTGATTTTTGCAAGGAAATTTTTCGAGCTAGTGTCTAAAGGGCTTCGATTGTGTGTTTTAGTTATCGAACACAAGTTTCAGCATGTGATCTAACTGGTATTAAAAATTTTCTTTATTTTCATCAGTGTTATAGCATTCATTAAGTGCATTTTGCTTTCTTCTCGTAGTTGTCTAAGGTGACAACTGAAAATTATATATGGAACGTTCCACATATATTTGCGCATTTGACAATGGTCAAAATTTTTTAGTGAAGTCAGTAATAACACTTAATGGAAGTATTTGCTTACGTTATGCGTATGAAAAAAAAAATTTCAATAAAGTTCTACTCCTAACCAAAAAATCAGGCAATTTGATTGTACCCAAGCGGAGATATCTCAATTTTTTATCGCACTGTTATTTGTGGGCCACCCTGTATATGTATGATCTTTTTTTTTGCACCCCTTGCTCGTAGTGAAATGTAGAGTTCGAGGTTAGATGTGAAGCAAGAACTGATACCTACACCCACACCTTACCCACATAAAGAAACAGTCTTGTTGTTAAGTTGTGCCTGAATATTTTTGATCCATTATTATTTTTTGTTGGCATACTTACACATGGATTACTTTTTTATATGCAATAAAATATCTTCATCTCACTGGTCGATAATGTTGAAATAA